AACCAATGGAAAAGGGAGAATTAAAACCGTTAACCCAAATCTTGAAAATAATCCAGTAAAATATGGATGGCAAAATGCGGATGGGAAAGGCCTATATAGGAAAGCACCCCCACGGCTTATACATGAAAATTACACTATAATTACAACATATAAGATTTTATAGGTTGCAACTATAGTATAATCAAGAACTGAAACATTCATCTCAATAATCCCCTAATTTTGGGTTTTCCCGTCGTGCCCGCCCGGCTTCGCGAACTACAACTACATCTTGTGGAGGCGCGTTTGTCGCTGGGTGTTGTTCATTTTGGTTGTCAGGGGTTGAGACAAGAGAGGTGCGGAAGCATTTTGAAAGTGGTCGCTGATTATGACTTTTTTCTCAAATGGACGCGCTTAGTGCATCCAGCCCCTTTGAGCAAGTCAGTTAGTGTGCCCTTTGCTGTCATGGCTTTGGTGTTCATGCTGTCTGACAGTGATGAGGGGATGACACCCTACTTCATCCCAATGGGGAGAATCCTTGCTGACAATGACATCAGCGAGTTTGCGGTGAGCGATGCTACCGCATTGCAGGAGCATTTGATGAAGATGACTAAGGAGCAGATGACCGAGACATTGGCAAAGTTGAGTTTGAAACCGAACAGGAAGTCAATGACCAAGCTTGACCTTGCTACGCTGATTGCTGGGAAGATGACTTTCTTGAGCAAGAGGGCATCTAGCATTTATCAGGCTTCGTCTTCTGCTACACCTGTTCATGGATACTCCGCCAAAGCCAAGAAGGATGACAACATTGTCATTCGCGTGAAGCCCTACGATCACAGGTGCCCTTCCCTTCGCATTGAAACCATGGAGATTCCAATTTGCCTTGACGTGTCGGTCTCAACCCTGATGGTCAATGTCTCTGAGAAGCTCAGCGAGATTTTCAAGGACTACAACTGGAAGTTGGTGTTGAAGTTCAAGGATGAGTTCCTCACAAACAGTATCCTTGCCCTGTGGTATGTTGGCTTCACAAAGGACAACTGCTACGCCGTTGCCGAGGTCTTTGATGAGAGCGACTCCAACTACCACAAGATTTTTGAGGATGTGGTCAAGAACGGGAAGGTGGAAAAGCCATTCACCGGTGTCAGTGATTTCGCCGTTGAGGAGGTAGAGACCAATAGCGAGGCGAGTGAGTCAGTGGAGGAGCAGGAGATTATCGACTGGTTGGCTCAGGCGGAGTGGAACCACTACCAGAACTCAGCCATTGACTTCTTTGAGAATGTCAGCACTCTCTCTGTTTGCGACCACTCAGGTGATAAGGTGCTCTTTGACATCCCCATTGACAAGGACTTCATGAGCTTGGACATGTTGCACCACGAGATTAAGAACCGCTTGACCTTTGTCATGTCCAAGTCTGAGAAGAAGGTGATCACAGAAAGCGAGTTGGACTTCATCATCAGCGCCACTTCCAAGCACAAGACAGTCTTGACGGACATGAACGACATTGAGTATGACAGGGTGTATCTCTTCCTTCGCATCCGCGGAGGCGGTAAGAATGCAGACAAGGTCATCAAGACCTACTTGAAGAAGGACACTCCAACAAGCTTGGGTGGAGATGACAAGTGGCTGTTCGACAAGATTGTCGGAAGTTCCCACATCTGGAATGCCATGACAGCAGATGAAGTGCGCCGTGCCTTCAACGACCTGGACTTGGCAGTGCTTCGTGGGATGGAAGACTTCCTGAAGCACGGCAAGGCCACTAATGTCAACAAGCCCCAGATGATGGTGGAGATGCTTCCGGCTATTCGGGAGATGGACACGGCGATTGCCAAGATTGTTTCAAACAAGGAGAAGGTGAAAACCATTGTCATGGACTACATCAAAATGGTTTGTGGGGACGAGGAGGGCTCGGTGAAAGTGGTAAAGCTCGTTAAGTTCATTGAGGGTAGGATTGCAGTGAAGCTTGATAAGTTGGCAGAGACCGAGAAGACGGGCGGAGATGTGAGTATGTGAAAACCGCATCACCAAGTGTGGAAAACACATTGTGGAAATCGCATTCCTCCCTATGTGAAAACCACATCACCCTATGTGAAAACCACATCACCCTATGTGAAAACCACATCACCCTATGTGAAAACCACATCACCCTATGTGAAAACCACATCACCCTATGTGAAAACCACATCACCCTATGTGAAAACCACATATTGGTAAAGGGAGACGCACAGGTTGGAATGCGATGTATCCATATACCCTGTAGCACAGCTCGTGCCATTGAAAAAGCGCTCGTTCTTGCACTGCTTCTGAGTTTGCACAACCCCCTTTCCCCTTGTTTTTCCTTTTGTTTTGTGTTTTGTTTCTTTTTGTCCCTGTGCAGGTATGATGACGAGGAGTTCATCTTCGGTCGGGCACCTGCGCGGAGCCCCTCGGTCGTTGTTTTGTTTGTTCGGTTTTGTTTTTTCTGGGTGGGTGGGGGATATGTTTGATAGAATATATAAGGGGAAACTCTCGCCATTTTTTTCAAACCTTCAGAATCTCTGACCTCAAGTAGGGGCGGTTCATCCCTTCAACAGAATAATAATCTTGACCAAGTTTTTTTTCAACCCTTGAAACCTTGTATTTGGCACTGCTCCACGAACTCGTTCTTTCTTTCTCAGAAATCCCTTTTTTACGGTAGATCTTGACCTCATCACCAACCCTAACAGGGGGATATTTACGGGTTTTCGTTCTGTTCATCTCAAGTTTCATCTTGACCTCAAGATGGTTTTCTTTTTTGTGGGCGTCATGTGGTGTCATGCCATGTGCAGAATGAACCATTTTACTGTTGTATGTCAGCATGATCTCAAGAATGTAATCAACCCATTGTATATTAATTTTTCCCTTTTTCTCGTCTGCATCAACTCTCTTGAAAAGCATGTCCTTGAACGTGCGAACGAAACGCTCGGCGAAATGGGGGTGCCCTCGTGTTTTATAGTTTTGGATCCCTTCGTCCTTGAAAAAATCAACAAGATCTTGGGTGTTGAGGCTTCCCTCGTCATCCGAATAAATTAATTTGGGTTTCCCTCCCATTTTGTTTAATGCTTCCATGATCCCAGCCGTGATGTCGGCAGGTTGCTTGGATGCAATAGGCACCACCACGGCTTTGCGGGAAAATACATCAATAAGCAATAAGCCTATCCTATATTTTTGATTATCTAAATCATTTTTTGATATAAAAAACAGATCCAATTGATATTCAAAGTTGATATCAGGGGCAATAAACGAATTGTATCCAGACAGTTGTTTTTTCCGTTCCACGTTCTCTTGAAACCACTCCTTGACATCTTGCATTGTTATGGATGCATCTTTCTTTTTTGAATCTTTATAAGTGGCGGCAACGCTACCAAACCCAGCCTGATCGTAGTAGATCTCACTGATTATCTTGTCTTTTTCACTCATATATATATAATACTATAAAATAAATATCAATATGTTATTTTATCACTGAAGCATCTATTACAAGAAGCACAGAAGGCAATGACATTATCCTTTGTATGGGGAAGATCATTACACAACCTTTGACAAGTCAAATTAGAGTTTATATTGCCAGAATCCATTGACAACACGAAGCCACAGCCACAATTTGCACACTTTCCGTTGACATTGTCCTTCAACCATTCGGCATCTACATAATTTTCTTTTGGAATGTCAAAGCCATTTTTACGATCCTGTTCCTTGTATGCTAACACCTTTCTATCAAAATAATTCATAATGCATTTTGCGTTAAACTCTTCATTTAAATCACTACTGTATTTGTAAAATTTTACTCTGTTTAAATCCCTTGCCCGAGTGATTCCCGTCCAAAGCCACTCGCGAGTTATCAGATGATGGTTCCAATCAAAAATGGTGACATCGTCATCAATGGAACACCCCTGAACAGAATGACAAGTATAACAGAAGGCAAAGATAAAATGACTTCTCAAGATACCAATATGTAATGTAATCTCTTCTCGTGTTTTGATATTAGCAATGGTAATCCAAGGATCGGAAATATTAATTATCTCATACCTAAAATTCACATTTAACTTATAGGTTTTTGTTTTCTTATACTCTCTGCATATCATGATCTCGCCGACTTCAAACTCATTTTGTTTGCCCTGTCGTTTCCTGATCTGCCTTGAAACCTCTCTACAAGTGTTATTTAAATATGCGACATTGCTTTCTGTTCCTGCGATGTCATCAGTATATTTAAAATACTTATTGATGACATCATGTAGAGACAACTCATGCTCAAAGATGTCAGCATAAATACTTTTAAGTTTATCCTTGTCCTCCTGTGTCTTCAATCGCTTGCACTCTTCCAAAAACAAATGATGGGGAAAAATGCTATCAATACATTCATTCATATAAATCTCGTGTTTCTTAGTGTTAGTCAGTGCTTTTATGGGGCTCAATTGCTTGGCGTCGCCAGTAGCTAATATGATTTTGTTAGCCATATGTTGCTCTACAAAGCCCTTGATTTT